GCCAGACGATTTTATTCAGCTGAGGAAGTTTCATCTCGTAGTCACGTAGTTCAAAAAATATCCGCTACTTCTACAAGATAATTTATTATATATATATATATATATATATATATATATATATATATATATATATATATATATATATATATATATATATATATATATATATATATATATTCAAGCATGTCCACAATTCACTTGTTCATAAATAATCCCTTTTGCAAAGAAACTCCATATTTAGAACATGAATTCATCACCCCATCTCATCCTATTGTAACTTTAGTATTTTCATCTGGCTAGCGCTAGACGATTACTCTTAGTTGAGGAAACCCCGTCAGTATTGTCAAAGTGTTATCCTACATTGTAATCTCTCCCAACTGATATACACTTTCCTTACTCACCCCCAGTATCCCCCCCTCCCAAAGAAAGGCACCTCTCTCCCTCCCGCTCACTAGCGAATATTTTGAATTCACACTTCAGAGTTCGGGGTTCACACCTCAAGGTGAGAGAGGATTGGCAAAACCAAATGGTAAACGCAGGTTTGGAGCCAACTGTACCTTAGTGAAAGAACACATCACGTGAGCAATTCATTGTTCGGTATCACTGTCTACCAGGGAAGGATATTTTTATCATGTACAGAAAAAACATATTCTGTTGTGATGGGAAGCAGGTTGACATTACTTTTATCAGACAGGCGACTCTCGTCCTTAGTTAACCCGGTACTAAAGACTATTATAAGTCGTGTACACCGACATTGAGTCATCCAGGACCAGCTGTGAGTTGTATCAGAAAAAAAGTTATATATTTGTGCATTATTTCGTATATATTATGCAACATGTGTGGTGTGCAGAGACACTTCATCACTGTCCAGGAAATGGGAGCACCGACCTCTGTGTAATGCGTGTATGCTTCTTTACATTATAACAATATAGTTTCTTGTGTAAAGAAACCTATTTTAAAGCCTAAACACCATTTTAAGATGAAAGGTATCTTTATATATATATATATATATATATATATATATATATATATATATATATATATATATATATATATATATATATATATATATATATATACACGAGGTACATTTACCGCGAGCGATATGGAGGTTGTTATGTGGATATTGAGTGGTACCTCTAGACTAGACGATGGGACGATTACAGTTGATCTAGTGTTGTCTTTTTGGGGTAATGTTTACATCCTACGTAGGATTCGAGGTTGACATGAATATTTGGTAAATAGGCGTGTTATAAGTGTACACGGACTGTTACTGACCATAGGGTGATTGGGTGAATTCCATATTCATGTAAAACTTGTTGATTCTTCTGCATGTATCGCTCGCGTATGTGTACATACTGTATACCACTCCCACACACAAAATAAACATACATTATAGCTAATGTTAAGAACACTTGTGCATATATTCTCACACACACACACACACACACACACACACACACACACACACACACACACACACACACACGTCCACGTATACAACACATCCGTGCTTTAGTGTTCAGTATGATCATCACGTAAGGGAGACTCAGAGGGTTCAATACCCCGGTACAGTGCTGCTATGGGCAAGTTTCCCTTTGCTTTCTGCCTTTGTTTGTACTGCAGTAATTGGAAATCTCGATAGTTATTGATTGATGTTGTGTGCAGTGCTCGTCACACTACCTCCTTATGTTCCAAAATAAGGCTTAAGTGGCATTATCCTGTATCCGCACTATCTCAAGCGGACCGTCAGACCTTCGGGTCCCACTCTTACTTCTGGAGCTCATTTGTTAAAGGTTCTCATATGAACTTAACTCGGAAAAAAATATCTGTTGGGAGAAAGCGCTTTAATTGATCGCAGAATAACTTGATTATTACTATCCACACTAGATTCCGTCTACTACCTCTAACTGATTATATAAGAACTCATCTTAACTCAATAAAATATGAAATACCGTAAAATTTGCATTAAATCTCTAATTAGATACATTTTTAAAGTGCCAAGTTACGCAGCGGGGGGATGGGGGGGGGGGGACTTCAGTTGACGAGTACTGTAGGAGCTCTACTACAGAGGTATTGTCTATATAGGTTGTAAATCTCCAATAGAAACATGAAGAAAATGAAGAGAACTTAAAATTCTTCACTTTGGACTTGACACCAGAAAATCTCTACTTTCTTACTTACGTCTTAAAACATTATACCTTAAATTTATGACTCCATCCTCTTATAGTCCCCAAATTCTAGGTGTTACGTGCAGCTAGAGTCAATATGGTGAATAATGTTTTTTTTTTTTAGCATATACAGTACACTTATGTAGATACAGATCTACTCTGATACACATACAGGCACACTCGCCACAAAAGTTCTCGAGTTCTCTAAGGGTCATACAATGTAATAAAATGCTCTCTGAGGAGGTTTTATTGCAAATAAAATTTCCTCCTTTCGCCTGTAAATATTATAAAGGCGAGCAACATATATTATTACGAAATAATAAAAGTCACTTCGCAACCAGGCGTACCAACCATTCTGAGTTTAGAAAATTTTTGTGTGGCAGTTTGGGGGGAGGGGGTGGGAGGGGGTGCACGTGGAGTGTATATGGTCCACTTTGTCCCGATGTACCTCCCAAATGGTTATAACCTAAGGACATTTAATAACTCTGAATAAAACTAATCAATATATGGATTATGTCAATACTAACGAATTATCCACGTAATTCAAGAAAATTAACCGTTGAAACAAACAACAATACAGTACAAGATGGCGGAGACAAACTATCATTAATACAATTTAAAATTATGAAAAATAAAGAGCCAATTACTGATTAAATACACATAAGGATCTATCTTGTATCACTGCAGGAAAACAAAGAAACTATTTACTTTAGTTGTACTGTAGATCCACCACATAACGGCGGTGACACAAGGGTTGTATTGGGTGACTATGTTAAGTGTTAATATGTCTTGGTAGTGCCTCAAATAATGAAGCACATTACTGATGTGTTACATGTGTATGTCTTAGATATAAATTGCTATGTGTAACTCTCAGGCACTATTCCTGCTCGATAGTGAAAGATGGAAAGATGTGGTGGGCTTTACACTTTGACAACCGAACAAAGAACGACTAAGCCGGAAGCTGAACCGAGTCCACAAACGGACCGAAGGAACATTTAGCAAGGAACTTTAACTATCCCTGATTCATTTAAACAACGGTATTAGTTACTTCAACTTTCCAAAGATGACGCCACAAATGCGTCGTCTTCATGTCGTTTGCAATGTTTACGCACGTTGTGGGGATATAAAAAATTCAAATGCATAAAATTTCGCAAATTTCCGAAAGATAAGAACAGATTAGTTAATGTACTGTACTTTTAGTTTATGTACTTCCATGCGTTCACGAATGAGAAAAACGCTCAACAGATGAAATAAAAGAGGAGATGCCAATAAATAAAAGATAGACACAGAGACTTCTGATGATAAAGCACTCTAGAAGATGATTTTGTTTTCCATTCCAGGGCTCTCTGAGCTTCGCCCCCTGGAGACCGTCAGATTAAAATTTCAGGGGGAGAACATACGTTTTAGGACCGGTAAATCAATCAATCACTCAATCAGAGTACCGTTCTCGGATTGTTCACCAAACATCCAAAGTTGTGTATCTCTCTGGAAAACCCAGTTTTTAATTTCATTCATCCACCCCAGTCTCGGCCTTCCCCTGGTCTTCCTACCCTCAAATTTTCCCATTAATATTTCTGCTATTATCCCCTCATCCCCAATCATATAACCAACATATTTCTTTGTTCTTTTTCTGTACATTTCAAGTATTTTCCTTGAAGTTTGGGCTAATCTTAGTACTTCTTCGATTGTCATTCTGTATGTGTAGATTATTCTTAGCATTCGCCTATAAAACCGTATTTCATAGGCCTCCAGTCTCTTCCTGGTGTCTGCGAAGTGTACACGCTTCTGACCCCATACAATGCGGTCGACTGCAGTACCGACCATTCTGTTTCCTTGTATATCAAAGGCTTAGTATACAGTGTCCTCTATTCACGCTAACTCTATGGGACCCACTTTCATCCACACGATACTTGTATTATATTAAACTTTGTGAAGAAACATTTGTTATGGTTTACATTTGCTTTCATAATTATCATCAGTAGGAGAAAATGCAAAGTTGGTAGACCTATTTCATAATAGCACCTGTATATAATTTGATTAAGAAGGTTTAATGGTAAGAGCCCCCAGAAGTTGCTTGCCCTGGGGCCCCACAACTCTTAATCTGACCCTGATAAAGAAAGATACATTGCGAAAGAGAGAGCAAGAGGGTAAAATAAAGAAACAGACAGATAGATAGTGAAAAAAAAGGAGAGATCTCGACAGAAATAAAGGATGAAAGAGGAACATTAAATCTATATTGGGATCATATAAGAAATGAATGACACGCTCTGTCTCTTTTCTTGCAACCCCTGGCTCTCTCTCTCTCTCTTCCAGTTACAATTTACTTAGTCCCTCTGCCTTAACCCTGTTGCAACTAAAGGATATTAATAGAAGATCACTCATAATCTAACTTTTATTTTTTAACTACAACAAACTACATAATTCAGTAGTTTCCAATCAAATATACTCTACTATGGGGCACATAATAACAACTAGACTGTTGGCGTATCACATCTTTATCACTGTTTTCGTTGAGAACTAAACTATGTATATATACAGTATACAGTATATATATATATATATATATATATATATATATATATATATATATATATATATATATATATATATATATATATATATATATATATATATATATATATATATATATATATATATATATATATATATATATATATATATATATATATATATATATATATATATATACATATATATATATATATATACATATATATACATACATATATATACATATATATATATATATATATATATATATATATATATATATATATATATATATATATATATATATATATATGATCTTACACTCGCTTATGCAATATCAGTGAAAACTTAATATATTTATATGGATTACAAAGCTCACACACTGGATATATGAAAGTAATAGTACAAGAACTCCTAAACGCCTGGCAAAGCTACGACACACTTTGATAAAATAGTATCAGGTATTGTTAATTTTTATCTTTGTACGTTCATGTCATTATCTGAGTTTGGTCATGAAAACAACCATAAAACACTAGTGTCTAGGTCTAGTAGGAGCGTTATAAAGATCTAAGTATTAACAACACTAAGTCCGTGAAGGATCTTTGTTCATAGATACTGTCCTGAAAAAAACGGGAGAGATATAGTCAGCCATAAGCTGTGAATCAAGCATCTAAATGTCTTAGAAACCTCAGTACTTAACCCACAAGAGACCAAAACCACACCGACTTATCAAAAATATACGAGTGTGGTGCTGTTATAGTCAACAGACACTTATTATTTTTTTACATAAACTTTAATCTAGGATAAGCCTGTATTTTGATATGTTTTTGCCTGTCTCTTCGTGTATTGCTTGTGTTTCATCATCGCTTGGGCAGGTCAGCTGGAGGATCTAGATCAGCAGCAAGGAGGAGTAGGTAGTCGCACTTTGGGGGGGGGGGGGGGGGGAGCACCTGGCGTCTAAGAGCAGCAGTTTGCCCACTTAGCTTTGTTCGCCCCGGCGAGCGACAGGCCATCGAAGTCGGCTGTTGGTAAAAAAAAAATGTGAAATATAGATTATGTCGTTGATACAGTTTCCAGAGACAATGTGCCCTGAAATGATCCAGTTTTCCAAAGATACTGTAACTTACGAAGACAGTGTAACTAATAATACATTACAAGAGAATGATACTGTAGTTAGGGAGGATAATGCAGTCACTATAAAATACACTAGATAAAGAAGGATGGAGCTACTGAGGTAAGAGAATTACGAGCGAGCAATTAAAATATAATCCCAGAGCTACAGTTGAATGATAATGAGAATGATGGAATTATATTAGATAAGGAATAGCTGGTTGCCAGTAAATTAAATAGAGTAAATAAATACTGTATGTACAATCCGAATTCGTTTTCACTACTTCCGTGTGTCTCAACCTATCTATTTGTTTACTCTCTCTCTCTCTCTCTCTCTCTCTCTTACACACACACACACACACACACTACCTCACCTGTCCATGGTCCAGCGGTGAGTACCCCCAAAGTAGCACTCGGTTTCCCTGGGATAGGGGTAGGGGGAACTACAGCTGCTGTGATGGTAGCGTGATCTGCGTCAGCTACGATGGACCAATTGATGCCATCAATGCTCTTCACCATGGCAGTCCTCTTCCTATCATAAGCATACATGGCTTTGGTGGTTGCATCATATCCCACAAGACTGCCGATGTACTTGGGCAGGGCTGTTAAGGATAGAATATGTTAGATACAGTATCTCTGACGTACAGTGGTAACAGGTATCTGAAGCCTCATTCCGCAAAGCGTGGAGGAAGGCGAATGCTTACATTTTGTTGATGTTAGTGGTGATAAAATATTAAGATAATAATGAAAATGATATAAATAATAATAATAATCCTAATAATAAATTAGATAATAACACATTGTATCACTGTACATGAGTAAATAATTTCCAAGTAAGAATAGATAAGTGTCACGACGAATTGTGACTCTGGAAAGTAACCTTCTTCCCATCTATAAGTCTGTCCCTAGGTCTGTCCATTTATTTTTGAATTTCATTTTACTTTGTGTTATTAACAATATTTATCTATTTTAGGCATTATTTGTTTTTATCTCTTGTCTGTCTGTCTGTCTGTCTGTCTATTCATCATTTAAGCTTTGATTGTGTTTTAATAAAAAGAAAAAGGTGCATGAAGAATGAAACATAAAGAAAATAACATATTAAGTATAAAGAGACAATAACACAACTGAAAGAATATTAACAAAAAGTTCGAACGATGTTAAAAGAAAACGGAAGAATAAAACAAAGATATACGGAAAAATGGAAAGATACACAAACAAAAAAATAGCGAATAAGTTAAGTAATTGTTAAAGTAGGTTAGGTTAGGTTAATACTGCCTATCTTAAGTTAGGATTAAGTTACGGGCCTTAGTTTGGTGAGCGCGGAGGAGACACACTCGATGGCAATACATTATTCTCACCATTAACCTCTACACACTAGATTAATGATTCCTGAATGTAATGCTTAGCTTGGGTTGGGTTGGGTTGGGTTGGGTTGGGTTGGGTTGGGTTGTGTTGGGTTGTGTTGGGTTGGGTTGGGTTGTGTTGGGTTGGGTTGGGTTGGGTTTTTCTTACCGATCCAAGATGAGCCGTCAGTGGTAGTGAAGCACACCTTGGCCTTATTATCACCCTTATTATTGTCCTTGAGGGAGACATCACAGAAGTAGAAGATGGCGTTGGCCTCGTCGTAGGCCATGTGACGCCATTCCTTGTAGTTGTCTGAGTACAGGGTGGTGAGCGCGGTGGAGCAGACATCAGGCGTGGTCTCTAAGAAACAACCGTACCAGTCGAGGAATCTTTTGTCATGAGAGAGGAACGAGAAACCAATTATTTCCCGATAATAGATGGAGAGGCAGAAACATAGGTCTGTTGTCTAAGGCAATAGGTGTGAACTCAGTTACCGTGAATATTGGAGTGATTCTGCCTTCTGTTTCAATGAGAGTAGGACGAAATGATAGGAGCTTATCATATAGCACATTAACTGTTTTGTTTTTGCATTTTTGATCAAGCTGTACAAACTATTGGGGATTATGAGTAGCGGTAGTCAGAATTTAGAGAACTCACCTAACGCCGATAGGAGTAACACCAGGCTCTATTGCAGCTGTACCAAGACCATTACTCACACTGAGGATGAAAATGCGGCCGAATCGAGCCTCGATGCGACACTCGCTTGGTAAGATTACCTCCCCGCTAGTCGGTACCGGTATGATGCTCTTCAGCACCCAGAAGGAAAGTAACAGGTCAGTGAAAGAAATTTACATGCGTAGGAAGCAGACGACTTAATTTATGACTTGCAGAAGAGTGTGTAAATAATCACTCAGGTAATATTCAATGTGTACAAGGTGCTTGGTGTTGATTTAAATTTAAGTGATTTCAGTGTACGGGTATAATATTTAGCAATCACGCATAACAACCATAGCTTTGATTCCCCCTCCCCTCTTATCTCTCTCTCTCTCTCTCTGTATATCTATCATTTATCTATTAATACATGTTTGTATGTATGTATGTATGTATATATGTAATGTACAGTATGTATTGTATGTATTGTATGTATGTATGTATGTATGTATGTATGTACAGTATGTATGTATGTATGTATGTATGTATGTATGTATGACTGTCTGTCTGTCTGTCTGTCTGTCTGTCTGTCTGTCTGTCTGTAATTTGCTGTCTTTCTATCTCTCACCTGACAGGCATCTGTGAATAACTGTCCGTTGTGTGAGTACTGCAACCTAAATTCCTTAACACTCAACATGCCCGCGACCTCTTCGAAGGTGATTTTCGTCACTCTAGTTAGCTTCAGGAAATCAAGCGTCAAATAATGCTGCCAAGTCGATCCCGGGCGTACAGGTGGGCACCAGCCTGTGTGAGAAGGACCGAATATGAGAGAGTGAAGGAAATGGAAAAAGGGGGGATGAGAGAAATGGAGGAGAAGGGAGAGACTGAGGCAGAGGGAAAGAAATAGGGTGAGAGAGAGAGAGAGGAACATTGACGACAGGCTACTTACTGTAGGTTAGGATGGGGGAACTTTCAGAGAGAGAGAGAGAGAGAGAGAGAGAGAGAGAATGAAAGTGAGAGAAAAAAGAGAGAGGGAAACATAAACAGCATGAGGGTAGAGAGTGAGAGAAACAGAGAGAGAGACAGGTGTGGATAAACAAGCAAATTATGGGGCATTAAGGATATTAAATACAAAAAAAAAGAAGCTTATTATTCACCTTAACCTTACACCTATAAAAGTTACACACCTGAATAAATCACACACCTGCATCAGCCATACACACTTACCTGCACCAGACCCAGGCTTGACCAAGTCGGGTCCATTAGCGACGTCGATAGCAGACGATGCTGTTATTTGGCAAGAGGTGAACGTACCCAGCCCGAGAGGATCAGTGCAATCTGTCGCGAGAGTGAGATATTAGTGGTGAGACAGGTGGGGGGTGTGAAGTGAATGGTGAGACAGGTGAGGGATGAGATGTGAATGGTGAGAGAGGTGAGGGGTGTGAAGTGAATGGTGAGACAGGTGAGGGGTGTGAAGTGAATGGTGAGAAGTGAATGGTGAGACAGGTGAGGGGTCAGAGAAGTGAATGGTGAGACAGGTGAGGGGTCAGAAGTGAATGGTGAGACAGGTGAGGGGTCAGACGTGAATGGTGAGACAGGTGAGGGGTGAGAAGTGAATGTTGAGAGAGGTGAGGGGTGAGAAGTGAATGGTGAGAAGTGAATGGTGAGACAGGTGAGGGGTGAGAAGTGAATGGTGAGACAGGTGAGGGGTGAGAAGTGAATGGTGAGACAGGTGAGAGTCAACCACCTTCTCCATCTCCCTATTACTCCACTTGGCGTTTGCTATATATCTTGATTCTCCTAACCTAACCTATCCTAACCTAACCTATCCTAACCTAACCTATCCTAACTTAACCTAACCTAACTTAATCTAGGATGTAATGTGTTCTAGTAGTTTATTTGTGGTACTTCGGTGAGATTTTTCCTATTTGAATGTAAGTATTTTCTCTCTCTCTCTCTCTCTCTCTCTCTCTCTCTCTCTCTCTCTCTCTCTCTCTCTCTGGATGCGTAAACAGTATCTTCCTCTCTCTTTGCATTTATCTCTGTCCGTCTATCATTTTCTTTTATTTAACTCAGCTTGTATTTGTCTATATTTATCTCTCTTTCTCACTTATTTCTTTAATTTGTTAACTCTCTCACTCTCTCTCTCTCTCTCTCTCTCTAATTAAACCACTTTACCTGATCCATCTATTTCAAACCGCAAGTAGGAGGTATTGGCGCAGTACTTGAGGGTCGTGTCTAAGTTGGTGGAACAGACGAGCCTCATAAGGGTGGTAGCGTTAACGAGACCCAACCCCTTCGGCAGGGTTACGTTCACATCCACAGTCAGTGTACAGTTCAGCTCTAGGATGTCCGTGAAGAACAAATTGGTGATCTATGGAGGAACATGTCTTTGTAGAAGATTTGATATGAGGTAAAAATGGGAAAGAAATATTAGTTTATTTTGATTTATATTGTTTAGTCAAGAAATGTTTCTCTTTCGACTTAATCATATAATATACAAATAAAGTACAATTTTATTTTCGTCACAGGTCTAAACTCACTCTAACTCATTTTCGTCACTCTAAAGTCTAAATATACGCATCTTCCTCATTCTGAACTACTATCACTTTTTCCAACAAATGATACGACCAACTCTACTTCCACTACAACCACCACATCTACCACAATTACCTGCAAAACCACCATAGTTACTACAAATAATTTCACTTACACCACAACTACATACACAACACAACTACTTCCTCTTGCATAAACACAACCACAAATAGTTTCACAATTACCACAGCCACCACAAATACCTTCACTTCTACAAAAAAAAAAAAACACCTCCATGTCATCATCACCACTACCTTTGCTGCCATAAACACCTGCCCTACGCCTAAGGTACTAAGGTATCGAACTCACCTCATAGTCGAGATAACCCTGGTAGGAGACGTTCCCAGAGATGTTTCCAGTACACACATCGACTCCATCTTCGTAGGAGAGGTACTGAGGCATGAGAAATCTTATCTTTGCATTGTTGGCTTCCACCTGGGACTCATTGGTGTGAAATGTTCTGACGGTCACTCCCACGCGTTCCCTGACAAGTGAAAAAAAATATTAGTCAGTCAGCTAAGGTGCCATGCCCATCTTTGGTGTTGACGGATATTAGCCCACCATACTAAATAATTTCTTCCCTGGACGATTACAATATATGACTTTAAGATTTAATTTAATATTTTTTGTTATGCTTAACATACTGTATTTTAAACAGATAGGAAGGGCATATAGTTATGGACCATAATGTATATTGTTTATATTAATAAAGCATCTATCAATCTATCTATCTATCTATCTATCTATCTATCTATCTATCTATCTATCTATCTATCTATCTATCTATCTATCTATCTATCTATCTATCCATCCATCCATCCATCCATCCATCCATCCATCCATCCATCCATCCATCCATCCATCCATCCATCCATCCATCCATCCATCAGGGAATGATTCTGTCTGTCATTTGAGTGAACAATACGCATAACTAAAATAAACCAGTAAAAAATAGATCATTCCTTCACCCATAAAACCTTGGAAGGCGAAGGTTTAAGGTACCCGTTTCATTCTTAAATTACAGAGCTTTAGCTAAGTGATGTACTGTACAATACTGAACGTGAGGGTTGGGGTTTGGTTACATAATCCAAAATCTTGAAAGATACTCCTAGTACGTGTGTGTGTGTGTGTGTGTGTGTGTGTGCGCAAAGATGCCTCTGCTCATGATAAAACACTAATCTTCGCTATTAGAATAATAACAAGCACACACACACACACACACACACACACACACACACACACACACACACACACACACACACACACACACACACACACACACAAACGCAAGACTTTTCTGAATACATAAGCACACATTAAGAAAAAATAGATAAATCAATAAAATAAGACACACACCCTTGATTGAACATGGTGGTGGTGTTGTCTGTGAGGAACATCTGAGTGGCGATCTGGAGCGTCTCTGCTCCCGTCTTAGACAGTATTACAGGCACAGGGACGACAAATATCGTGTTTCCTGCCTGTATACAGTATATGCACAACAATATTAGGGTGAGAATAAAATATTCTCAGGAATTTTTAGTGAGTTATATTAATATCATATGTTGAGTCTGAATTCTAATGCAAATAGTTTGTAATTATCTTAATTTGTCACCTTTACGGCGAAGTAGATTTTAATCTCTGTTTGATCGGTGACGTTCGGATGGTCAGCGATCATCACGTCAACCTCAATCCTCAGCTGATCGTCCACTGGTTTTTTCGAGACCCCTGAGCAAGTACAATTTAAGAATAAAATAATATTCATATTACCAAGGTGAAGTTACCAACAGTTTCCTACCAAGATAATCCAATTATCAGATGAGAAAATCATTTTGAATGTTCAGAACTTACAAAAATTTAGTCGTGTGATGACATTAAGGAGTGCACAGTATTCCAATGTAAGTACACCAGGGTGCTGCAGAGGGCTGTTACTCTACATACTAAACATGTCAAAGAAAATAAAATATTCCAACAATACAGGAACACTTAAAGGTTTCAAGAAATGATAAAAGTACACAACATAGGGATAGATATGATGGTTCCCCGCCAAACCTGACCTTTGGAGTTTTAACAGTTTACCTGTAGGTTATAGTCTCAATGGTTAGCCAATCCAAGCGTCTCTAATCCTAAATGTTCAAACGTTAGGTTAGGTTGGGTTAGGTTAGGGTAGGTTGGGTTAGGTTTGGGTAGGTTGGGGTAGGTTAGGGTAGTTTGGGGCAGGCTAGGGTAGGCTAGGGTAGGTTAGATTAAGTAGGGACCAGTAAGACTGAGGCCCACTGGGCTTATGACAGACCAGATCAGCCACATGATCAGGACAGATAAGTCGTATATTCTTAAAGAAGTATTTAGAATGATCACGACAAGAACAACCAAGGAAGGACTGTAACTCCTCTCAATACCCAGAGATATGACCTTCACTTTGCCTCGTCGGCGAATGACAGATTTGTCATAATAGCTGATGTAACCAAATATTATATATATTCCTTAATTTTGAAATGTAGCCCCTAATCTATCCTAACCTGACTTAACTGTTTGAATTGGCGTTTAGTCCTATTTGGCTTTAGTTGATAAAGGCCCCTACAGAAACTAACCTGACTAATTGGATTTAGACTCAATTTTACGTGGTCCTCGTCTTAATAACCTCACTCCTAAGGATTTTATTATGATAGTTTAGGGTAAGTTAGGTCAAGTTAAGTTTGGGACTAATAAGTCAAGAGTTTATTAATTTTGACATGCAGCTTTTGTCTAACCAAGACCGAAGGATAACACTACTCTTACAGATAAGGCGTGAGTGTGGTTACTGCCAGAGATAAAATCATTGACTGGGATGCATTATGTAATCTTCCTCCTGATTGAAAACGAGAGCAGCGATGACCAGCCAATGGCCGAGTCTTTGGTAATCACTCGGGGAGAGTGTAGGCTGTACGTCAATTACTATTGGCAAACCATGGCAATATTTAAGGATGCAAGTACCTGTGTTGGTGATGTAAAATAAGTCGGCTGATAACGTGTCAGTCTGCGACTCATGGATCAATTGTTTGATTATTGAAGAGTTCTGGATGATGTTGGGTTTGTACAGTAGGCAGTCATCCAAGAGACAACCCAAATTCTTACCGGAAGTTTCTCGCGAGAATCTGAAATATTTAGATTAATGTGTTATGCAACAAAACACATAATATGTGATATATTTCTGTTAATAAGTTAAAGTTATTATAATATTACAACCCCACCCCCCATCAACCATGTAAGGGATGAATTAGCTCAGTGTTTTCTCTGTCTAGTTTGTCTGAATGTCTTTTCTGTTTGGTTTATGTGTCTGTTTTGTCGATTTGTTTTTATTTTCGTAAAAGCTCTCACCGGAAGCCATGGATGGTGGCGTAAGCTCGGCCGCCATCAGTCGAGGTCATTCCCGAGAACTGTAGAAGATAATCCCAGAATGATATAATACAAACCAAGAGAGTAAAGATGAAAATAATGTGGTATAAGAGGGAATTTAAGATTAAGAAACAATATAACAGAGCTGAGAAAGTAAGATACAAAAAATATATGATACAATGATGGAATATTCAACAGAAAGAACATGGGACGTAGAGAGGAATAATAATAGAGGGAGTATTCGGGTAATCTCTCGGCATCTCTATAGAGGGTGTTTCGGAAATGCGTTTCAGAATTCTGGGGGTGACTCCATGACCATAGTGTCAATACCCCATAATTTCTGAGTTATAACACAAAATTGGGTAGGGGAGGACTTCAACAAGTCTATAAACACAAAACACTCACGTTTACAAATACGTATACAAACACACATACACCATTCGAAAATATATTGCATCTGTTATGGAAGCTTTGACTCTAATGTCTTTTTAATGTGTTCATTTTTTTTAGGCACACACACACACACACACACACACACACACACACACCTCGATGTTGGTGGTGACATCTCTCGGGATGGTAAAAGCGACGCCGTGCCAGGCCCTGCTGCCGGGGGTGACAATCGCTGAAGAGTTCGTGAGAGGTTCAAGCTTCATTCCTGTAACGTTAATCGTTCCAGGATTATACGGGCCCGCGAGCTTGGTCATAGGGAAGCTCGCGCTGGCCCCTGCAACGCCTCCTTCAGTGAGTTCTAGAGTGACGGTGGCCGATGACTGTCCTCCTTGCATGAACATGGCTCCCACGCGGATTATAGCCTGAGGGGAGATAGTAAGAGGCCAGTGTTCCAGAAATCTTAGCACTACGTTATTTATTACGTGTTAAAAATGTTTAGTGTTTTATGGAAGAAATGATGAAGATAATGAAAATGAATAATGTTGAAGAAATATAGTTAGGTGTTTACTGATCTCTGTCAATAAAAAAAGGCAACTCAAATATATTGGTACATTTGCCCAATTGGATTTCCTCAGATATAGTCAAAAGCACATTGTTACTCACCTCATCCTCTGTGGAGTTATCGGAGATCGGGTAGTGGCAGACGGTACCTAATAACACTTCCATCACTTCTTGGGTCTCCGTGGACTCCGTCTTGTTGGAGATAACCTCTGATTGTATGAGACACGGCAGGTTATCTCCGGCCTGTAAGGAACATAGATTTTAAGGACCCCATCCCAATTCTAATGGTTTGGTCAGGTTAAATAAGGATTTAAAAAATAATAATCTAGTTCGTGTTAACCATTGGCGATTACGAGAACATCAGATGAAAATATACCGTCCATCAACAGTTGTAATTTCATAGGTATAAATATTTAGTAAATATATTTCCTGGTCTATAATTATTAAAGCAGCACACTGAGCGAGTTGAAAGTGGATCTTCTAGCCATTTGACCTATCTTGGAAATAAGATCCAAAATGATTTGATTGCTTTCATTGGTAGGAGAATTTGGGATACAATGGTTGCAGAAATTAGAGAGTCCAGATATTATTCAATTGTTTTGGACTGTACTCCTAACATCAGCTACGAAGAGCAGATGTCTGTCATCATTAAAACGGTGACTTCTAATCCGGATGAAGCACCAGAAATCAAGGAACACATTATGGGATATCTGGTGGCTTCACAAACCACAGGTCTTGGCTTGTCAGATAACATTTTGGACAGGCTTGAGGAGCTGAAGATTCCCTTTGTCAGTTGCAGAGGACAATGGTGCTAACATGAAAGGGAAGAACAAAGGCATACAAGTAAGACTGTTAGAGACAAATCCCCACGCTTTGTATGTTCTACAGTATGTGGGGCACACATATTGAATCTGGTGGTGGATGATGCAGCAAAAAGCTCTAAAGATGCCATTGGTTATTTTGGAAATGTGCAGAAACTCTACACTTTATTCTCAGCAGCACTACAGAGGTGGTCAATCGTAAAGCAAAGGGTGAATATCACACTGAAATCCTGGCTTGAAACAAGGTGGGAGAGCCAAGTAAGCATAGAAGCAGTTCGTAACCTTGTCTTTAACATCAGAGAGGCACTGTTGAGGGTCAGGGACAAAGCCACAGTTGCTTTTACTAAAATTGAGGCACAATCTTTGGCCGAGCAGGGTTTTTCTTACCGTTTTCAGATTTGCATTGTTGTGTGGTATGACATCCTCACCAAAGTGAAGTATGTAAGTAAGCTTCTTCAGTCTGCCAAAATGCAACTAGATATGGCAATTGACCTACTTATTAAAACAAGGGCTGCACTGATTGCTACTGAGAACCTGGCTCTGCTGAACCACAAGAAACAGCAAAAGAATTATGTGAGGACATGAATGTGGAGGCTGTACTTAGAGAGAAGAGGCTCAGAAACACAAAACCCAGAATGAGACTATTAGATATGCAAAGAAGAGCTTAGAAATTATATGATTTTTTTTTTAATGGGATTGTAGATTCTGCTATTGAATCCTTTAATGACAGGTTCAAAATGCTGGACAAAGTAAAAGACAGGGTTGATATTTTGCTTAATTTTACAAGAATGGGGAAGGAGGCCGTATCTAAACAGTGTACTGAATTCTCCAACACATTAAACTTCGGAGATGAAGCTGACATAGATTGTGGGGAATTAGCATTTGAAATTAGTAACTTACCAACCTTAGCTATTGATATCATGGCGGCATTGGGGCTTCTCATTTTCATAAAGCTGACGGAACTGTATTGTGGATTGCCCTCCGGATTATAAGTGTACTCTCCCGGTGACAGTGGCCCCAACAGAAAAAAGCTTTTCTAAGCTGAAGCTCATTAAGAACTCCCTGAGGTCATCAATGGCACAAGATCGCCTCAAGAGGTTTGCAATAATAAATATAAACCATAAAGTTGGCCAGAAAGCATCATATGACGAGGTCATCGATGACTTTGCTTCGAAAAAGTGCAGGAGGCAGGATTTTTTTTAAGATGAAGACGGAGACAGGACAGGTGGAACAAAAATTCTTATAGTATTCAACTACTCACCCTCTGCAGACTGTATAATGATAGTTTTGATCTTACACAGTGATGTTTTTGATCAGTATTGTACAGTGACTTTTGCTATACAGTGATGTTTTTGAGCCGAGTGTTCAAATTGTCCACTGTTAGTCACCTTTACACTAAATATGCACTAACGATACTATTTTGTATTTGTGTGTAATGTTAATGATACAATGTACAATACTTTGTTATTTGGGTGAATTTTTTTCTTCATGCGTGCAATGTTTGTTTTTCTTTAATAGAATAAATATCTTATACTGTTGAACAGGTATTTTAATGTAGATATGGTGAGTGATAAAATTGGTTATGGGGGGGGGGGCACAAAGCTAGGAACAGCCCTGCGTATTTTATATATAAAAACAATTTTACCAAAATATATTTTTCTCATAGTTCCTCCAGGATTTTACGATTTCCATGTGTACGTTTTCTCCCTTTGTCGGTTGCGATATTTCGAAGGGAGACGAAGCTATGAATGACCAATTATTAAAGTACTGATTATATTCAGAGAGAAAGAAATGAGAGGCATCATAGATCGTAATATTAAGGATGTGTCGTTCCTATATTTCAAATAAGTTTTAGAATTATTGTTGTTATAAGTTATTACTGCGCATCAACAACGAAGGTCTTTGTGCAACAAGGTTAGTAATGTACTATTCCAAATACATTCAAAACTATGAGAGACAAAACTCTCTGGGTAAATTTTGTAAGAGAAACCTTCTTGTTACTTAAATATATTAAAAAGAAGTAATTCACTTTGTGGATTAACAAGAAACAATTAAGGTTGTTTTATTTTTCAACACTAGGAGAGGCCGTCCCATGATTACTTATTAAAACAATAGAAATTATTTGTCGTGAACAATGTAAAGAGGAGCCAGGAACTATTGTTTGGTCGTATGAGGTTTACATCGACTCCCTTATGGTATTGTAATTAAAAAGAAATTATTGTACACACCTGTATATTGAACACTGTATCTTTACTAAACTGTTTTGTATCTATGGAACTCTGCTGTATTATCACATGTAGTGGCCATCTACTGTACAATGTTTATACCCTGTGTTTATACCGAATATGTCTTGTAAACCTAAATCATCATGTGCCGATGTTGGTAACATGTCTCACTCAGCCCCACACCATCATGGAGGTCTGGCTAGCTCACCGAGTACAGGGCAGCCAAGCAGATGGTGATATCAGCTACGGCAGTGTTAGTTATGGTAGCAATGACCTCCTTCCTGTAGTCAGCCGGTACCGTTAACTTGAATTCTATTATCTTCATGACACCGTCGTAGGAGTCTCCTCCTGTTCCGTCCATGGCTTCTGCTACAAGGCTGATAGCTCCGCCAGTCTATTTAACAACGAGACAGAAATCAAGCAATTTAGTCAGCTTAAAAAAGAGATAATCTGTGATGATCACAAAATCTAATCTATATATATATATATATATATATATATATATATATATATATATATATATATATATATATATATATATATATATATATATATATATATATATATATATATATATATATATATATATATATATATATATATATATATATATATATATATATATATAGCATAGTGTAGGTATAATAAAAAGAAACACTTGTATTCATATATATATATATATATATATATATATATATATATATATATACGTATAGATATATATATATATATATATATACATATTTATATATTTATTTATTTATTTATTTATTTATTTATTAAAGCTAATGACACGCACGAAACAAACCAGAGTTAACCTAAATTAACGTAATCATAAGTTATGCTACATTCGTTATGTTAGGTTTTGGTTCGCCTGATTTTCAAATAAATAATAATAATAATAATAATAATAATAATAATAATAATAATAATAATAATAATAATAATAATAATAATAATAATAATAATAATAATAATAATAATAATAATAATAATAATAACAGATGACAACCAGTTTTCTTTGTCATACTTCCCCAAACACAAAAAGTTTATCTTTAAATAATACAGGGTGTCCACATTGAAACTAAATAACATTGAAACCTTATTTTTTGTCTATACGCATATGAGGGTATTTCTCTACTTTAAGCTTGTTTTTGTTTTTGTGTGTGAGTTTCAGACTGAATTATTATAACCTCACAAGAAAATGCGAAACGTGTGTTTTGGAAGGCAGAACTGAAGTCACCTACCCTGGTTCAACGACGATTCTGTACAACGTTTGGCAAGGAACCAATTTGAGGAGACTGGCAGTGTTCTAAAACAGCATGGTGGAGGAAAGCCCAGAACATCGAAGGAGTAAGTTGAACGCGTACATGCTGCCTTCCACAAGAGGCCAAGGAAGTCCATCAACCGCGGCGGTACCTAACTGCAAATTCCACGTTCAACTGTGCATAAAGTCATGCACACATACTTGCAGCTCTGTGCATTTAAGTTTCAACTGGTTCAGCAGCTCAGGGTGGATGTTCATATCGAAAGAAGAAATTAAGCTATGCACGTGCTCCACAGTCTGAACAACAACCTTGAGTCCCTGAACTGGGGCAATGTTCTCCGACGAAGCAACATTTCACACATGTGGACACGTTAATAGACAGAATTGCCGCATCTGGGGAGCAGAGAATATCCATGTCACCCATGAGGTCGAAAGAAGCAGTCGAATAGTTAACGTTTGGTGTAATCTTATGTGGGCAACAGGATTGTCGGTCCATTTTTCTTTGCGGAAAAATCTGAAGCAGGCTATAGTACTTAAACATGCTTCAGCTGTTTTTGGTACCGCAGGTAGAGGACCGCCAACCTAACTTAATTTTCCAACAGAATGGGGCTCCTCCCCACTGGTCCCATGACGCCTGCTCCTTCCTTGATGCCTGGGTGCCAGATCGCTGACTGGGTAGAGGCGGGCTCGTTTCCTGGCCACCGAGATTACCTGATCTTATCCTGCTCGATTTTTCTTTGGGGGTAATGTGAGGTTCAAAGTGTACTCCACAAAGGTATGAAGGGTAATTGAGTGCCAATGTGACTTAGTTCATGCTACGAATGGTGCACATATTGAATGTCTACCCTAACGTATCCAAATGTACCCAAATAATATGTACCCATACACCAAATGAAACCCAAGCATACTGATTATAAGCGATGTGAATATTCCTGTATGCATTATTCAATAAAAATTTATAAGGCTTCAAAGCTGTTTCATTTCAATGTGGACATCCTGTACTATTATTATTATTAGTAGTAATAGTAATACGGGTGGTAATAATAGTAATAACATTACTATTATTTTTATTTCCATTACATTACTTCTCATTAACTCACGTTGGGAACGTTAGCTGTGACGGTGAAGCTTGCTTCTGACGGAGTGAGAGTACCTGAGTTGGAGAGGGAGGCTGTCAGTACCCCGGCGGTCCCTCCTGCTACCCCCTTTAGCAACACTCCTACCACGATCGTGTTATCGTCGGCAATCGGGGAGCTGTAGGGGTCACCAGTACCTAGGTCAAAGAAAACAAGAAAATTTGCTTTTATGTTGTTGTAAAGATTAAAACAAAACTTATTTAAACAGTTCAGCAGAATTTCGATACTTGTGGGCGTCTGTCTATCAGAGCAGAATTCATGCCCAAATAATAAGAAATATTATATTGCACTGTCTCCACCTACCGAGGTTACGTACGACTCCCAGGTCAAGGACAGCCTCTAAACCCCAGGTGACAGAATCGTGGATGATGGTGACGTGCTGGTAGGGTAAGTCCTCCTTGAAGTATGGGTCCTTGTCCAAGCAAGGGTAGCTGGGTCCTGTATTAAGGGAATTAGTTTTAGCCTCTACACATATACGTACATATATAATTAAATAACGATGTGGTTATCAGCATATATATATATATATATATATATATATATATATATATATATATATATATATATATATATATATATATATATATATATATATATATATATATATATATATATATATATATATGTAATGAGTGATTGTCAGACCAAACCTTACAGCCCAGAATTATGTCACATATAACAGCAAGTACACCACAGACCTCGTGGTACCACCGCATTCCAGGTTGACACACCTCAGGTCGACCCTAGGGACTTGACCTTGCCCGCTAATGACGTGAGCCGGTGACCTACAACCGCACCTAGCCAAGACACCTGGCCAGGACCACACCTGCACACAATTATCCAGATCAAACCAGTTTAGTGTTAATTGTTAGAGGTCAGAAGCCGGCTGGGCCGACCCCATATAAAGGCCCTACAGTCCCGTCCACGGGCATTCAATATTCCATTTCGGCATTCGAGATTCCATTCGGGATTCCATTACGATTCTCATTCTGGTTGCTGTCATCTCTCTCCCGTTCGGGTCGTCACTCGGTTCACTTCTCAGAGTCAAGCTCACCCTCTCCCCAGGTCGGGAAGGGGACTTCCCGACCAGACCCCAGCTAAGCAGAAGCCTCTCATAGGAGGCAGCCCAGCCAGCACTCACTGGGCCTACGTCAGGGTACACGTGAGTCTTGTCAGAACGTCCTAGGGTGAGTTACCTACTGTGGGAAGTGTATTCATTCAGGTGTGTCCGAGAGTCAGTGTCAAGTAACGTAAAGCATGATGTGTTAGTACCCCGATATAATAGTGATATTAATGTGTCCATGTCATTGAGTGAAGTAATAAATAGTTGTATCAAGAGGTGTTTAACAAGTTGTCCCTTTAAGAAGTGATATATGTGTATTGACATACGAGATAAGATAAGCGTAGTGACGCTGTGCAAATAACATCCAGGCCACGCTACCAAGTTTCCTATCTTTACATTCCTATACTCTATACTCTCTCCTATATATATATATCTTCCTCTTCTCTGTTTATTCTGTCTCATTACATTGGCGGCAGCGAACTATGACGTTAACCCACGCCCCGCGTCCCTTGTTATTGGTAACAGTGTACTTAACGTAAACCCATGCCCTCCCCCGTTAGCCATAACACCTGGCTCGTTAGTTCAAAAGTGCGTAATAAGAAGTTCCTGCGTAGTAGCGTGAAAAGTGTCCTAGTGTGTCATCTTTACAGCTCAAGTCAATGTCTCTCGTCGTGGTATGTGCGAATTTTTGATAGAAATATGTTCAGTGCTTAACGTAATTTCTCAGTGTCACCCGCTATCTGTGGCATTCTCAGTAGCCCAAGTGCAGTTTGATTGTTGGTCAGTGTTGAATGTAGCCATTGTGTTTCAGTGATGAAAGCGGTGTCTGTACTAACTGTTATAACTTAACATGTCTTTTAACCTACATCCTCCTCCCTGTCCTAATCCTTACCTCACCCTCCTTACCCTTCCTCCCATCCCTGCCCTGCCCTGCCCCGCCCCTCCGTTCCGTGCACCTCCCCGCCCCGCGAAGCCTAGGTCTGGCCCGATCAACCGCGCCTCGGCTCCTCCCCACCTCACCCGCAACGCACCAGCCTGGCTGGGCCTGGCCAGCCTCGCCTCGCCCCGCGCCGCCCTGCCTCGCCCCACCCCGCTCGGGTGACCTCACGTCCTTCTGACCTGCCCCGCCGCTTGACCACACTAATCCCCCGTCTTTTGTCCCGTAAGCTGTGTGTTGATGATGATGGTTAATATGAAGTAATATTGCGATGAATGCAGAGCTTCACTCAGTGTATTTTTATGCTATTATGATTTGTGATGTACTCTTTGACGCGCAGTGATAAATGATATTTAGTGTAGTGCGCAGAGCTTCACTCCCCGACCCAGCCTGATGAGAACATTGTCGTGACGGAAATGATAGTTGCCAAACATTGACCTATCGTATAAAGTAAACTTTTTTTTTGCGAATGCACTTCCAACTAATCCATCACCCCTTTAGGATTGTTTCTCTGTCAAATGTCACACACAGTACCACCCATGGCCAGCCGGACGTCAACCACAGTACATACGAGCAGAGAAGAACCAGCATGATGAAAGCAGCGTGATGAATGCAGCTTGATGAAGGCAGCACGAAACCCACCACACACCACGTCACTTCTTTCAAGTCCTCCCTTGGTATAGGATTAAGAAGATTTTATATTTTTCTACTTTAGGAAGTAAGGAGTGTGGAATGGATCGCCACACAACGAACCCTGGTGAGCCCAGCCAGGGAGGGATTCACCACTGTGGAAGGTGTAAGACAGGACGGTCTTTGGTCTCGCCGACACTCACGTACGGAGGGCGAGCCCTGGTCCGCGGAACCTGCCTTACAGTCATCTAAGGAGACGACAGCCCAAACAGTGGACCGGCTCATCCCGGCCGGAGAGGGCCGTCGGCAGACGAACAGAAAATCGTCTGGAATATGTTGAAAATGATGATGTTGCAGAGAAGAAATACAGATGGAGCAGAAAAATTCGTCTGGAATATGTTGAAAATGATGATGTTGCAGAGAAGAAATGCAGATGAAGCAGAAAAATTCATCTGGAATATGACGGAAAACGAAGATGTATAAAGAAACTCAGATGGAGCAGAAAAATTCATCTGGAATATGAAAATGAAGATGTATAGAGGAAGAACGCAGATGGGACAGAAAACTCGTCTGGAAGAGTATAGAAACCAGGAGGAAGTGAGAAGAAGTCAGAAGGTGTGGAGAAACGACCTACAAGGTGCGGTATGTGAAGAAAGAAGACAGAAGACAGAAGATGTGCTATGTGAAGAAAGAAGACAGAAGATGTGCTGTCCTGACATCACAAGAAAGTCGATGATGAAGGACCAACCGACTACAGCTGCTGAGCTGCCGCCATCCCCTATTTTTCAGATACCAGCTGGATGGAAGACGTGAGCTATGCCGGACCCAACTAATGTACTGATGTTGTTGATGTATAATAAAAAGATATCAATACCCTAATATGTGAAGTAGGAAATTTTTTTTGTGTATTTTGAAGTATTTTCTCTGATTTTGTTGATGTTTACTACAAAGAATGTCTTTTTTTAGTCTCACTTTTTCTATGAGTTCATTTGATCAATGTCTTGGACTATGAAACACGATGTTGTAGCTATATTACTGACTGAGATGAATTATTATTTTGACATGGAAATGTAACACCTGTTGTTGTTTGTAGAATGTGATTTGCAAGGTTGCCTCGGACACTATGCTACATATGAAGGATTTTTTCATTCTATGTTCACTTGCTATGTTTCCTTTTTCTCCTGGCATAGAAGCTTTGATCTTGGCGGGAGGTATAGTGAGCTTTGTCAGATCAAACTAGCGCCAGTAGAAAAACATACACCTATGAGATTGTTGTTTGTAAATGTGAGACTATGTTATCGCCCCAGGGATTATCTTTGACACCACACGTGATGTTGCTGTCTATATGTGGCATCAGTCTCTGTGATGAAGCTTTGGTCTTGGCGGGAGGTGTAATGAGTGATTGTCAGACCAAACCTTACAGCCCAGAATTATGTCACATATAACAGCAAGTACACCACAGACCTCGTGGTACCACCACATTCCGATTTGACACACCTCAGGTCGACCCAAGGGACTTGACCTGGCCCGCTAATGACGTGAGCCGGTGACCTACAACCGCACCTAGCCAAGACACCTGGCCAGGACCACACCTGCACACAATTATCCAGATCAAACCAGTTTAGTGTTAATTGTTAGAGGTCAGAAGCCGGCTGGGCCGACCCCATATAAAGGCCCTACAGTCCCGTCCACGGGCATTCAATATTCCATTTCGGCATTCGAGATTCCATTCGGGATTCCATTACGATTCTCATTCTGGTTGCTGTCATCTCTCTCCCGTTCGGGTCGTCACTCGGTTCACTTCTCAGAGTCAAGCTCACCCTCTCCCCAGGTCGGGAAGGGGACTTCCCGACCAGACCCCAGCTAAGCAGAAGCCTCTCATAGGAGGCAGCCCAGCCAGCACTCACTGGGCCTACGTCAGGGTACACGTGAGTCTTGTCAGAACGTCCTAGGGTGAGTTACCTACTGTGGGAAGTGTATTCATTCAGGTGTGTCCGAGAGTCAGTGTCAAGTAACGTAAAGCATAATGTGTTAGTACCCCGATATAATAGTGATATTAATGTGTCCATGTCATTGAGTGAATTAATAAATAGTTGTATCAAGAGGTGTTTAACAAGTTGTCCCTTTAAGAAGTGATATGTGTGTATTGACATACGAGATAAGATAAGCGTAGTGACGCTGTGCAAATAACATCCAGGCCACGCTACCAAGTTTCCTATCTTTACATGCCTACTCTCTATACTTCCTACATATATGTATGTAATTCTCTTCTTGTGAGTTTTGTCTCATTACATATATATATATATATATATATATATATATATATATATATATATATATATATATATATATATATATATATGTCTTGATAAAATCACACGGGAAAAGGGAAACAACGGAGCACCTTAGCTGTGTGTGTGTGTATGTGTGTGTGTGACCCCCAATTGGGAAATAAGAGTGTAACCACTGTACTACAATAACTCTTAACAGTTAGCCTAGACTTCGTTACACATAGCCTACTCTTTTGTCTTTCAGGGAATCGAGAGCCTCAACTTGAGTTCAGGCCAAGCCACTAATATTGATCACAACAAAGAAAAAAAAAAAAAATTGCCAAGCTCTTTCGTAGACTTCGCATACTGTTCACCCTCGAACATCTAAAACAATAACAAAGATGCGCACACCTCCAGGGTGTAGGTTTCATGTTCTTAGAGTTGTGGCGTGTGTGTGTGTGTGTGTGTGTGTGTGTGTGTGTGTGTGTGTGTGTTGGCTGGTATCCTCCATTCACCGGGTTTTTGTTTAATGTGATTTCCATATTATAGAAGTTTTTCAAAAGTGATTTGGAACGCAGCAACATTATTTTTTTTTAGCACTGCTGTGTATCAAACAATGGTACACGGTATTCTCCCACGTAGCGTGAGATGCGCCAAACGTTCATATTCTCACCTGTTATCTCGAGGTTGCATCGCTGTTTGCTAAAACTTCCCCCAACGACGCATGATTGCAGATTCTCCACCAGAAGCTGAAGTTATCCTTCCTCCTAAAACTAACCCTCAACCAACACCATAAAGGCCATCTTACCTCATCAAGAATACACTACCACTGTCTCTCCTTAACCCTAACACAACTCCTATCTTCATAAACACATTTACCTAAGTCCAAACCGGTCTCCAATATACTGTATATTATATATGTATTAGGTAAGTAGCAATATAATTAGGGCTCATTGAGATAAGGGACCATTGTTATTGGGACCTCTTCAAGATCAGGCAAAGAAGTCATTGAGTCATTTAGATTGGAAGCTATAGAATTAAGAGAACACTATTATTGAGACGTTAGGATTAGAACCCTTGATGATTACCACCTAGATTTGGGATCCACTAGGACCAGCCGGTACATACCAACTTCCAAAATGAATATCCTGCAGATACTGATTTGAGTTACATCGTCGACTGAGAAGGTAATGATGTAGTGACCCACAGTACCAGGACGAGGCTTCAGCACCACCTAGAAGAAGATATATATATAATTATTATTTTTTTTTTTTTAGGGATATGGAGTGTAATTAAAAGGTAGAGTGGTTTTACAGGGAGAGATTGTTTACAAGAGTTGGGTTGTACGTAAAGGGAATTAATTATATGTAAGGGCTGTGGATATACTTAACGGTAGTTCAATTACTGTATATGAGTGATGGGATAATATTGAAAGAGTGGGAAAAGGATTTAACAACACACACACACACACACACACACACACACACACACACACACACACACACACTATTTTTTTTCTAAACGTGGCCTCCAGTCTCCCCAAATAGGAACACACTACTATTACTACTACAACTACTTTTTTTATAATTACGTGGCCTCCAGCCTCCCCCATTTCATTACCTTAAAATTAACTATCCTCATACATAAGTAGCTACCCTAGCTGTGTTGAGTTAGTTGAGCCGCAGATCTATGCGACATTCAGTGACTGTTGCCTCGTAGTCAATATCTGCAACTGTTGTCGGCTTTGGGGCCGAGGCTCTCGTTCCCCTGAGGCAGAGCAAAGCAAACCTAAGGAGAAAGAAGGACAGTCGACATCTCAACCAGGCTGTAACATAACTTCTGGGCTGCTGCTTCTGTTCGGATAGCACCTCCGCGAGTCTGGCGTAGAAGCATCTTGCACTTGGTCCCATCCCACCAGAGGTTGTGAACACCAGAGGAGTGAAGCTGCCTTGATCAACCTTCTGAATTCTCTCCCCATATGCCCTTATCTTGTCGTTCTCGTTCCTCCTGTGTGCAGCATCGAGAGCTAAGTTACGGTGACATGCGGCCATGGGATCAAAAATCCTGATGTCGAAGAAAGCTCGCTTTCCCTGCATCCAGAATCCTCGAGCACTGATGATGTCAGTACGGACTTCGTTGGATGTGTTTGAAGTCCTATTTTGGAAATTCTCACCATCCAATGGAAGGAGGGTAGGTTCCACCCTGACATCACGAAAGATATCCTTCAACATATTTGCAGTGAGATCCCTTACTTCGTCATGCCTCATGCATATGAAGCCCCCTTTCTTGCACACCATGACGTGATAGACGTCATAGGAGGAGCCACACACGCATTGGGAGGGCAAACATTCTACTGGCCTACCGTATCTTAGAGCAATGGCATCTGTAAATTCTTGTTTATTAAGATGGAAACCATTTGTCCTTATCGGTAACATTGCTAACCATTTCGAGGCGCCCACCTCCTGCGCTATAGCCTATTTTTTTCAAATTCTCTGGTACTTGCAGCATCAGCTGCTGCAACTTATTACTTTGGCCGTGCTGTCGCTCTGTCGTAATGGACCGTCGAATCTTGTTTAGTTCACTGGTATCTACCTCGCCTGTTGGGTTCTGAGCTATTATGTGGTTGGTGAGGGCTGCCGTGAGCTTAACTGAGTTTTGATGTTCGGTGGCAGCATTGGGGAAAGTTTTCAAGTGCCTTGTGGTGCCTCCTGTATGTGACCCATGTCTCGCTGCCATATAGCAGGGTGGGGAAGACCACTGCTCGATATACGTGTAACTTTGTAGATAGTTTCAGCTCCCTACAGCTGAAGACACGGTTTCGGGGTCTCCCTAAGACTTGAGATGCACATCTGATCCGATGCTGAATCTCTTCACACACACACACACACACATACACACACACACACACTTTACTTAATTTAACTTAACTTAACTTGAATTAACTTTTCTATTTTACCGTACAAGTAAATAACACGATAACATTCTAAACTAACTTAACCTAACCTAACCTCAACAACAACAATAAAATCCCGAGTCACACCTGAGGAAAAAATTACAAAAACAACAGCACATGAAAAGATGGTCTCACTCACCTTGACCATCTGTGGTACTCCAGGATCGATGATAACTTCTGGTATGGGATTTATACCAAAAGTGGGATCTTCACCAGCCGTATAAGCAGGAGCTCCGGTATTGAAGGTGAACGAGCCCCAACTTGTCCATATGAGGGAGTCACTCAAACTTAACCCGAGACTAATGTTGAAGGCACCACCTGTTGAAGAAAAATAAAGGTGTCAGGTGAGTTAGAGTTTGTCGTGGAGGTACGGCCGAGAGAGAGAGAGAGAGAGAGAGAGAGAGAGAGGTTATGAGGGTAGGTCATCCAGAGGTCAGTAGAATCACAGGCTAAATCGACCATGTGGTAGAGTACTGTGAGATACTAAGCAACAAGACGAATGCCCTCCATAGTAGAGAAGTGTACAGTATATTAATCAAATGGTATGACTTAGTTAAAACGAAATATAGATTGGGATAGTTATCAATAACCTATCGTTTCCGTAAGGTTCTTAGCATGATTAGTAATGACTTTTTTGGCAGTAATGTGTTTGTTCCTATCCTGCAGAGCCCCCCTGTATTCCCCAACTACATCTTGGCTCCGTACTTGACCTTACCTGCAGCGCTCGCTTGTAGTTTAGGAATTTCGTAGTAGACAGCAATCTTCACTTGATAGGCGGAGTCTGGCAAGGACTCAGTCCTGATGGTGCCACAGGCCGGCCCGAGTTCCATCCGTATTCCGTCTGTGAACACCGAGTCGGCTTTCCTGCAGATGTTGACAGTTCATTGATCATCGGTAATCACACACACACACATTATATATATATATATATATATATATATATATATATATATATATATATATATATATATATATATATATATATATATATATATATATATATATATATATATATATATATATATATATATATATATATATATATATATATATATATACATAATGATATAATCAACGACCTCACCAGCCAGGAATCGAACCCTCGACCTACTGGGTGGGACTAGGGAACGCTACCGACCTACCCACAAGGACACTAAAAGCAGTCCTAGACTCTGTTATATTTCACACAAAGCCTGTTCATCGAGCTGATGGCGCCGTGAACCTCATTGGGAACTGCCCATGCCTTGTATGTGGTGTCAGTAGCATTTTACCGAATCCAGCACCTAATTTTTATTAAAAATACAATGCATAATGTTACACTTCTTTCCGAGAGGTTAATCATGGCATTACAGAAGTACTCTTTTTCAGCTTTTTTATGAGGTTAAAAATAATGATCAATAATTCCTCGAAATAAAAGTAATGTTTATATCGTGAGAACATAGTCGATGCAAATGCAGTTTAATGGGTTTCATGCTTTACTCTATGAGTAGGGCCAGAGTAACTTAAATGGGAGTGTGCTTTGACTTTCACCTTCCTCTATTACTGAATATTCTATCGTGTATTTTATATATTTCTTGAAATTATCTTTTGATTTACTTGTGTACATTACATTTTCTGATACATTTACAAAACCGTTGTGCTAGGATCTCGATTAACAGTTGTCTGGGACCCGATTGTGGGCGGACTGCCTCAACACTTCGACTCACAGTGAGTGGCCAGGGAACCTGAACTACAAGAGTAGTTAAGGTGGGGTAACTTTTTAGCACATTGTGGTTCAGTGGATAAACTTCCTGCCTGCTATTCGTGGTGGTCCGGGATCGGTACCCGGAACTAATAATAACAGACAACCATTGGGCAATAAACTCATTTTACTCGATAAATCCACACACACACACACACACACACACACACACACACAGTCGCCCAAGGACGTGATCCACTGCACATACTTACCCTTTCATCAGGGACACCCCCTCGTTCAAGAGGTCTATTTTGCCAGCGATGCAGGGAACACCAACGCCTGCTGTGATAATCCTTGCTCCACACGCCCTTGATCCCCACCCAGTGATGTCGAGGTCCCCAGCAGCTTCCAGCGTCATACTGGCATAGGGGACGCCCCCACCTGAAAGATTTCAAGATCACGGTGAGACCCTTTGGATGCAACAGCTGTAAACATCGTCCTAATTTGTATTAAATAAGTATGTTTTTCAGAAACTAGTTGGACTGTAGAGGACCCGGTGGTAATTGTCTCCTCAAGTACTGGTCAGGTTTGAAATAATGGCATGTTCCTTATTTCAAGTGAACATCGACAGGTTAATCGTGAGTAAATTCTTAAAAGCAAACAGACAGACAGTAATGCATCTATACAAAGATTTACAGCGCCGTGTTGTGTCATATTGGGTCACTTTTCTTGTGAATATTTGTGCTTTGTGTGTGTGTGTGTGTGTGTGTGTGTGTGTGTGTGTGTGTATGTGTGTGTGTGTGTGTGTGTGTGTGTGTGTGTGTGTGTGTGTGTGTGTGTGTGTGTGTACCGGGAACGACACTGGCACCTCTACTGATCCCAAGTTTACAAAACTACCTTGTGTCACAGCTTGTAATTTTGTCTTTTTTACCTGGAAGCGTTAGGGTGATTAGAAGTCCAGCCTGCGACCCGTCGTACCAGATAACGTCTGAGGACACACTGTCTACCGTGCCCTGCATGTCGGCGGTTCCCGCAGTCTGTGGAAAAGAGATGAATGCGTTGCATAGTATCAATGTCTTCAACTTCATTTAGAAAATTCATTGTAGAGAATATTACAGCTTGAGGAGTAGGTTTTCCTCACCCCAGTTGTGACCGATAGAGTTTCCCCTGATCCGCCTGTGCACGAAATGGAGGTGTCCGAAGGTGCTCCGTTGAATTGCACGGACACCTCGAACACCAAGAGGTCAGCATTAGCAGTAGCGAACTGCAAAGACAAACACACAGGCACATCAATATTTCTAGACTCCGACTCAACTTGACCTTAAAGCTGGGAAAAGAGGCTGCTATCAAACCAAAGTTGGATCAACAGATGTCGGCATGAAATAATAGTTTTACGAGAATCACAGAGCGAGTTTTACGCGACTTAGGTAACCGCATTCTAGTTACTTACGGTACCGGTCGAGTTTATGTATGCTGAGAAGACCAGGGAACCGTCGGAGTTATTGGTGAAGGTTAGAGGCGGGAAAGAGACGATGTTGGGTCCTGCGGTGCCATAACTCACACCACAAGCCTTATCTGAGAGAGGAAAAAGGCTCAAAACGTTACAGAACCTAACATAACCTAACATAATCTAACCTAACACGTCCCAACCTAACCATCGTTTAGGATAGGTTAAGTTAGGTTAGTAAGGGGATTTTTTATTTTAAATTCATGTCTCGTGTAATCAACGGCAGTCACAACGCGTTGTTGTTGTTTTTCGGTCTTTGAACCTAAAACACACACACACACACACACACACACACACACACACACACACACAGTCATACATACAAACACCACCCCACACACAATCTTACACACATAAAACAGTCCACACACCCTCATACTCATAAACAACATCCCACACACACCCATACACACAAACAACATCACACACACACACCCATACACACAAACAACATCCCACACACACACCCATACACACAAACAACATCCCACACACACCCATACACACAAACAACATCACACACACACACCATACACACAAACAACATCACACACACACCCATACACTCAAACAACATCCCACACACCATACACACAAACAACATCTCACACACCCACACACACAAACAACATCCCACACACACACACACACACACACACACACACACACACACACACACACCACACACATCACACACACACACACACATACACACAACACACACATACACACAAACAACATCCCACACACACCCATACACACAAACAACATCACACACACACACCCATACACACAAACAACATCCCACACACACACCCATACACACAAACAACATCCACACACACACACCCATACACACAAACAACATCCCACACACACCCATACACACAAACAACATCCCACACACACCCATACACACAAACAACATCCCACACACACACACCCATACACACAAACAACATCCCACACACACACCCATACACACAAACAACATCCCACACACACACCCATACACACAAACAACATCCCACACACACACCCATACACACAAACAACATCCCACACACACACCCATACACACAAACAACATCCCATACATACTCAAAAACATAAATCTTTCCTTTCTGTGATGTCTTAAAGATAAGTTTTCTTATTTTACTCAGGGAATTATTTGCAAGACTGCCATTCAGCTTGTTAGGAATTCCTTCTTAGACATTAGAAATTACCAGAGAAAGGAACATTTAGAAGTAAGCAGTGCTTCTCACCAATCATAATGTTTTACCAAGAACTAAAAAACTCACGTGGGGCAGTTGGTGTGACAGTACACTCTACGAAAGAGGATCCGGCATTGGTGATCTCAGCTGGTACTCCCCACGTCACCGTCCCGCCATCGGCCACTTCCGTAGAGGTTAACGGTACGATCTGTCGGAACACAGCAAATATATATTCCATATCTCCTCTTGTTGGAGGGGGGGAGGGGGGGGTGGGGCTCACTAGTTGTCTCATGATGGACATTATAGCCTTAAAGGAGAATAAAGGCCCCAAGCCCATTGCAGCTTTTGATCATTATTAAACAAATCCCTGAAAACAATTGATTTAAATCATGATATCATTAATAATTAACATACATATGGTAAAAAGCAACGTTTAAAACCAACTTTCGGACTCACAGATTGCCAGGTAGGGTCCCCGCCCGTTGGCGGGTTAACGCCAGCTGTCACGCTCACAGTCACATTTTCAGTCCACACGGTGTTGGTGCCTATGACGAGCCCAGCCCCCACAGCCACCGACTCCCCGGCCACGGCATCCAGGATAAATATGTTAAACCCAAACTCGATCTTGAAATTGGGGTCAGTTAAGGCAGCCGCGAGATCAGCTGTATGGACAAGGACATTATCATATTATAAACTAAACAAAACAACACTCCTAGTTTTCTAGGACAAGTAGTCGATCACTAGTATACTAGCCCAAAAAGTCTTCAACAAATAAAACAGTTAAGACTACAGGACATAAATAGACAGATAGACTTCGTAGTTAACCTAGTCATTCTTAAACCCAGCTATAAGATGTAAACCTTTTAAATTATTTTAAGATTTCCATTTGCGTAACTTGTCATGTATTTTTTCAATATCCACTTGATTTTGCCCATTACAATATTATAATCGCCATCTGATTCGAACTCCTAATCTAAGAAATTGACTTGACTCTCTATTTTGATTGAGAAGCTAACTTATCTATAGTACTTACTACCTACACTCTTATCTTATCTTACTCATTGTATTACCTCTACTTCACCTGCGTTCTGTTGATTAATCTTACTATATTGATTATTGCACTACATTGCTTTTGGCATTGTGCTCACTCAGGCATTACCTTGCTCCTACCAATGACTTGACCCTTTTCAATAGCCAAGAAGAGAATAATTACCGTAATCCAGGTTCCTCAAAATTATCTGGGCCTCAATGGTGGCTCTGTGAAAGGTGCGTCCACTCACTGACGGATGGTAGGTCACTTTTCGAGAGTTGTCCACCATGCAGATATAATTACTTCCCATGGCAGAGATGAAGATGTGGGAAACTGAGAACTTGTCCTGTGGGTTTAAGAGACTCCTGTTGTACCTTGTTGCTTTTTCATGTTCTAGGCATATATATATAAATATATATATATATATGTATATATACACAACAAAAATTGACACACACACACACACACACACACACACACACACACTCGTCTTACATGAATCCCGTCCGGGGTGTACACTTCGAAGAGCATCGTGGTAAAGGGATCGTTCATGTAGACGTCAATCTTGAAGCCACCACCAGCGTATTGTGCGATGCTGCTCGGACTCGTCATCGTTACTGTTTGATCATGGGCAACCTGCAGGTGAATCACGAAAGGTAAGCAGGGTATTAATGTTCATGTGTCAGAGGTAGCAAGGAAGGGACAATGATATATTACATGGGGGGAATAAAGATTCGTTGGTGTTTTCCATGAAGTGGCTGGTGGGAAACAGAGATGGCATGGAGGTGGGAATGGAAGAGACCTAGGGAGGAATAGGACGAAGTGAGATGAGTAATTGGGAATGAAAATTGGAATAGTTAAGGATGGACTAACAGGTGAATATAGAGTTTGGAGGGAGAGTCAGAGGACATGATGAGTTGAGAAGGGTAGGGAGAGAACTGGGAGATTTAGAAGGGAAGGAGAGGTATAAGGAATGGAACAGAAAGACCTGAATTGGGTATGAAGGGGAGATATAGCCACATATTGAAAGGTAGGGATGGTGATTCTTCCTCACCCTCCCTTACCCTCCCTCCCTCATTTTCCCCCTCCCGTACCCTCCCTCCTTCACCTTCACCCGCTTCCCTTCAACCTGTCTCCCCTACCCTCACCCCCCCCTTCTCCCCTTCACCTTCCCTCCCTCATCTTCACTCTTATCCTCCCTCCCTCCCTCACCTTCACCCTTATCATCCCCCTTCATCCTCCTTCCTTCACCCTCACCCTCATTTACCATCCCTCCTTCCTTCATCTTTCATCCTTTACCCTCTCCCTTCTTCACCTTCACCTTCCTTCCTTCCTTCACCCTTACCCTCCCTCCTTTACCCCCTCACTCCTTCACCCTTACCCTCCTTCCCTCACCTTCACCCCTCTCCCTGCTACTCACTGCTGTGGTATCGAAGCTGTGCGTCTCCTGGCTAACCCAGACCCACTTCTCGGAGTCATACTCGGCCCCTGCTGTGACGATGACGGAATCATTGGTGTAGGCGTCGTTCTTGACAAGAGTAGCAGTGAAGGTGATTCTGATGGTGCTGACATCGTCTGGGGGTGTTCCCGAGGTGTACGTGTCCCCGTTCTTGATCCTACCGAAGTCGATGATTACACGGTCGTACTGGAATAATGAACAGAATGGAATACTGAAAGTAGACATAATGGATTAGTGAACAGAATACAAAAGGTAACAGCAGCGGACACAGTTTTTAATGACGGACAATAGAATGGAGTGAGTAGCATTTTTATCTTATGAATTAACTGATAATGATTGTACAATTTTATGTTTCACTACTACCACAACTAGTATCCAGTATCGTATCCATTAGTCGTACTCACGAAGGTTAGGAAGAATGGGTTGTACTCGTAACGGGTGGAAAAATCGGCTGGAGCGATGGCCGCGCCTGCTTCATCTGTGATCCCACTACCAATGGACTGAATGACCACGTCACAGAGAGCGAACTGGGTGATGCCAGACACAGCATCCATTACGAAGATTTCAACTATCAGATCGATGGCAGTCACTGGAAACGAAGAGATCTCATGTCTTGAAGTTTTGAAGGGTCTCTCTCTCTCTCTCTCTCTCTCTCTCTCTCTCTCTCTCTCTCTCTCTCTCTCTCTCTCTCTCTCTCTCTCTCTCTCTCTCTCTCTCTCTGTTTATTCTATTTATTTCCTCTTTTTCTTTTTCTGGACAAAATAATTGACAGACAGGTGTGCAAGACGAGACAACAGGGAGAGAGAGAAAGGGGTATATGGGAAAAATGACAGGTATATATAGGTCGAGCAGCAAGACAGGAGATAAACAGACAGACACATAGACAGGCAAAAGTAGAGAGATGAAAAGAAAAGATAGATAAACATTCACATAGTCAAAGTGGAATATAGATCGACAGGACTTACCGAGATTTGGAAGAGCAACTTTCATTTCGTAGTCGACAGAATTACCAGGTTGCAGTGTGGTTGTACCTCCGGCTAACTTGTTCAGTTCTAGATTGGCGGTGGAAACCGAATCGGTGGGTCCGGCAGCCTGCAGAGAATAAAAGATACTAGTTTCTCGTTCTGTAGACACACTCTGTTCCAGGGTTAGTACCTATGTAGGCAGTCACTAGATACTCTGAAATTAGTACTTTACCCTGGATTATACCACAACCACCACCGCTACTATCTTATGAAGTCACCATTACCTTTCAGAACCACTACAGTCATATAAAACCATTACTATCTTACAGAACTGCTTCCATCATCTTGCAGAACCATTACCATCACGTTACAGAACCATCAGCACATAATAAAACCACTACCAGCACGTGACTATCTGATGGAACCACCAGTATATTACAGTACACCCACTCTCTGACAGAACAAATACTTTATGACAGAACCTAACTATTTCATTACATAATCTGAGAGAACCCCTTTATCTTAAAGAACCACTCTAACTTACAGTATCAACATTATCTTACAGAACTACCACTATCTTATATAACCACCACTGTCTTAGAGAACCAACACCATTTTCTTACAGACCCAACAGATGCACTTACGGCTCTCTTCTTCCTGACTAGAGTCTCTGGTTCCATGAGGTCAACACTTTCAGAGTAATTATTATTGTTGTCAATTCCGCCGCCGTCGTTGTAATCTTTCTCGTCACTCAGACTCTTCTTGTCCTCCTCTTCTTCCGTCTCGTATTGTTCATCCTCCTCGTCATCATAGGTGTTGATCAGAGAAGCGCCAGTGCCGTGGTCGATGTTGTTGCCGAGGGGCACGGCATCTGGCAGGGCCTCCTGTGGGTGTAAGGGAGGTCGTGCTGTGACAGTGTAAAGCATTAGGGTTATGTATTAAGTGTCAGTCTCTCTCTGTAAGCATTCACACACACACACACACACACACATACACACACACACACACACACACACACACACACACACACACACACACACACTTACACACACTCTCAGTCAACACTCACCAGTTGTGTCCTCAAGCGGCAGAAACATGATCCCAATGATAAATAACAATTATCAGGTATATTATACTCGTTTCGCTTGATTGGTCAGGTGACGCAGGGTCACTGGATCAATATCTCATCAACTGATCAGTGTAATCACATTATTAGCACACTCATTTGGCTAATTGAATCACCGGATATATTATAATTGTGTGTATATATTTCACATGCTGATTATATATATATATATATATATATATATATATATATATATATATATATATATATATATATATATATATATATATATATATATATATATATATATATATATATATATATATATATATATATCTTGACACTGACAGCCTGCAGTATTTGAATTTAGTCTCAGGGATCCCTCGAAAGGGTAATTTACCTAGTCGAAGAAATCCCAACAGGAATGAGTTACCTGGTGGAGCAGGTCTTGGAGAGTGTCGTCCCTACGCACAACCACAGTCAGCACTTGGGCGTCAAACATCGGGTGGTCAGGCAGGCCTCTTGAGTCCTTGGTACCTGAAAGAACATAGTATAATTATGTACAATAGATGTTAGTTAGTTCATATGAAGGCGAGAGTCGATGGGCTCAGGTTCCTAATACAGGTAATGGGGAGGACAGACAGACAGACAAACAGAATTTGAATAATAGATAAGATAGTTAGATAGAATTACTCAGAAATAAAAATAAATAAAGACAATAATAGAAAGTTATAAAGAGAGGCGAAGAAATAAATTGACGTAGATATATAAAGAGAAAAAGAACATAAACTATAACGAGAAAGAGATAGAGAGATACTGAGAGAGATATGGAGAATTTTGTAAGTAGATAGACAAAGGGATATAATAAATGACTAACCGAGAATGAAAGTAGAGAAAAGAGGTAGTGAAAATGTTCGATAATGGTACAAACTCACTGGAAGCGATAATTTCTACATGGTACTGTCGACCAGGTTCCATCTTGACATCAGGCTTCAGGTAGATGAGACCGGAGGAATCATGGATGCCGAAGAGGTCATGCACTTCCTTGTTCTCGTCCAGTATGGTGTAGTGGATGGTGGCACAGGGACAACGGGTGTTAAGTCCTGGTCCTAAGGGACATGTAAGACCCAAGTCCTCATCCTCAGCTACTGCCTTGTACACCACCCCTGGAAGATGAGGCACAAGTGTTAAGTTCGGTACACCACCCCTGCAAGATGAAGCACATGTGTTAAGTTCAGTACAACACCCCTGGAAGATGAAGCACATGTGTTAAGTTCAGTACAACACCCCTGCAAGATGAAGCACATGTGTTAAGTTCAGTACAACACCCCTGGAAGATGAAGCACATTTGTTAAGTACAGTACAACACTCATGGAAGATGAGGTATAGTCAGCCAAAGGTGCAGCGACTTCACCTTGTATCTCGTACTCACAATTTTACCTGGCTATACTTGGTAAAGGAAGGCTGTATGTAAAGGTGATTGTGATTGGTGGATCTACTCTTAGCTGTATCACTGTCAGGATAAATATTAAGCAAACCAAAAATAGCATTTTTATAATAATAAACTATTAAATGTTATTTAAAATTATAAGAAGTTTCCAATTGTTCGTATATCTGCTTAAATAATGAGGAAAATTTTATATGAGAATCTTGTGGCAGCCCTCGTTGTTGCTGAGTTGCCAATTCATTAATATATTTTTTTTCATTATTTAAGCATTCTACGAACCTTTGGAAACTTCTCATTATCTTAAATGACAATGAATAGTTTATTATTATAAAAATTCTACCTTTCGATTATGTTGTACATCTCTCTACGATTATGTTAGTGATATTATCGAGACGATCTTGTCCTTTTCTTTAGTCATTTTCAATAGTTAATTCTTGTAAACTTTTATCACATATTTTTTGCTTTAATATTCGATTTTGGTGTGTATTTTGTTTTTACTGGTTGTAACCAAGTCATTGGTCATTGCTGAAAGCTTGAACTAATAAAAAGGCTGTAATTGTGTATATAATGTATTGTATTTAAACATACACGTCTCCACAAGCGAATATATCATGTATACTAAAATTATATATATATATATATATATATATATATATATATATATATATATATATATATATATATATATATATATATATATATATATATATATGTGTGTGTGTGTGTGTGTGTGTGTGTGTGTGTGTGTTTGTATATATGTTTTTGCATTATAAGGGTCACTTCAAAGTCTTAAAGTAAAAACAATATGAAGAAACTACAGCAAATCACCCCAAGAACGTCCAATAGTTCTCGTTTCCCAGAGAGCAGCGAACAATTCTCGGGCGAGCGAGATTAGGTTAGTTAGCATGTGTGGTCCCCACCACCAACTAACCTAACCCCCTGGACACTAACCCAGCCAACTTCCGGGTACCAGAGGCAGAACTATGACACATGAATAGTTAGGACAAAGAGAGAGAGAGAGACCGCTGCACACTTTTTCACTGGGGTATGAGAGACCAAGTTCGTAATGCTTGCCTACCAATATCTATATAAATTTTCTCTCCTTAAGTTGTATTATTAACTATCAAAACAAATTAAAGTTTCCTCTGTGTTAATTATATGAATTCTACTTGTTAATGTTGTTGTATGTTTCATTCGCCAGTTTTATTAGTCTTTTTTTTTAACGTAGCTGTGATTACTGTATAATTGTTCTGTTATAAATATTATCTTTTATTTAAACTCTTTTATTGTCGAGATCTTACCAAAATTAATATATTGATGTTTGTTTGTATATTTGTACTGTTATTCATTTTATTCTCTCTCTTATTCTCTCTCTCTCTCTCTCTCTCTCATTCTCTCTCTCTCTCTCATTCTCTCTCTCATTCTCTCTCTCTCTCATTCTCTCTCTCTCTCGCTCTCTTAATCCTTCTCTCCTGAATTCACGCAGTGTTTCAATATGATATTAAAACGTTTAAAAAAAGCTAGTTTGAATTACATATTTTCTATGACCTATTTTGATGAGATAAATTTTCTGGTGTTGAGGTAAAACTGTGTTGTGGAATAAATGTTTTGTGTATAGAGAAAAAAGAACATAAGAAAGATTTAATTTTATTGATTATTTTTTTATTTTGTTTCAATAAAAAATAATGAAAGCTTGAGATAAAAGAAATGAGGATATAATAAGGACAAATTGAAAGAAAAAAAGAGAAAATAAGCGAAGAATATAAACAAATAAAACAGAACATAAATAAAAGATAAAATAAATTAAAAACAAATACAATGAAATGACAAGATTAGAACTTTTTGCTAACTGCTGTAATTAACGGTACTGTCTAGTTTACCGATAGTAGTTAAGGTGTAACACAAGTATTGTCTTATATTAGTTAAGTTCAAATTGCCTCAGACTTATTTTTATAAGTAGACTCGAGGGAGAACTTGTACGAAAAGAGCTTTTAATATTCTGCACTAACACCTCCTCCTCCTTCTCCCTCTCTTCTTCCTCTTCTTCCATTCCTCCACCTGCTCCTCCTCCTCTTTCCTTTCTTTTTCTTATCCTTTCTTCTGTTCGTCGTCTTCCTATTTCTCCTTTCCCTCTTCTGTCTATGCTTCCACCACCTCCTTCCCCTCCCCTCCTCCCTCCGCCTTTACTATTTCCCTCCTCTCTCTCTCTCTCTCTCTCTCTCTCTCTCTCTCTAAACGCCTTACCTACACTACTCTTTACCTCTCTCACTCAACTGGCCCACATTACCTTCTCGCAAATGACCGAAAATGCAACTGAATAATAACTCGCTTTCAAGGGGAAAATATATACCCGCTAGGTAAGAGATTCCAGGGAAATACATAGCAGTTATACCTGATACGAAGCGTATTCCTCTTTATTGTTATATTCCGAGGGCATTGTTACGCCTAGGAGGTAAGTCATATGTTACATTTAATGCAGGTTTCATTGGAGCAATTCTGTCTCCCAAAACATGATTACATTAAACGCTAGAGCATCTAGGTCTGGTTCAATAGTGCACAGTCTTGATGAGTTCTAGTTCGGATAGAATTCAGCATCACCAACCTAACCTAACCTAACCTAACCTAACGATAAGAATTGGTTCCTAGTCCTAAAAGATTTCAATTGTTAATGGTCAATAAATTAGAATTGTGGTCTATTAAGAGTGGGGACTAATTGGGACTACGACCCACATGGACTAAGGCCAATTAGGACGAGGACCTATTAGAACTGGGGCCCATTAGGACTGTGAGCCTATTTGATCCGCCGACGTTCCATCTAGGAAAAAAATGGGCCTTCGTTTTCTTTCGCTTTCGAGAGGAAACTATGAAATTAGTCTGGACAGATCGTGAGGCAAAGAACATTCCTTTAGCCAAGCCGGGTCGGTAATTATGCGTGTGCTCTCAGGAAGTGCAAGACTCATTTCCAACTCTTGATTGCCAGTACGGTGAAGGAGGGGGGGGGAGGGGACAGAGAGACGAAGAGAATGAGAATGAGATAAGAGAAGAGAATTTAGCGGGAAAAGATACCCCCACGGTAATAGGTACAAGATTGCAGGGCTTAGCGGAAAGCCATGGAAGCAACCACGTGAATCAGACGGCAGAGGATAAAAACCTGGAAAGGGGAAACGAAAAGAGATTAAGAAGAGAGCAAGTAGATAAGTCTGTGAGGCTAAGAGAGAGAGAGAGAGAGAGAGAGAGAGAGAATGGCAAAAACGAGAGAAGGAAAGAAAGAGAAGAACAGATACATAGAAAAAAAAGAGAAAGGGAGGCAGAGAAAAAGACAGAGAGACAGATTAGATGGGCAGAGAAAAGAAGACAAAAAAAGAGAGAAAGAAAGGTGTGAAAAGAAAGTAATTCCCTAAAGACAAAAGTGTGAAGAAAAAATAACGAAAAGGAGGGCAAAATAAACACCGTAAATAAACTCCCTGGACCAGAAGACGAGCAAGAAGCATGAGAGAGAGAGAGAGAGAGAGAGAGAGAGAGAGAGAGAGAGAGAGAGAGAGAGAGAGAGAGAGAGAGAACAAAACAGGGAAGCAAGGAAGGGGGGAAAATTGTGCTAGAAATAACCTCCGCCGTTGCCCAAATTCCACGCCATCTCACCCCTCCCCTCCCCCTCAATTCTCTCCCTCACCTCCTCTCCCCCTCCTGGAGTCTGGCAATAAAGGATGCAACTTCTTCTCCGTCTTCACCAGCGGCAGGAGTGGGAGGGACTAAGAGGGTACTGGCTGGAGGGAGAGAGAGGTTGTGTAGGGTCCGCTCTGGGATTGCAAAGAACCTCTCACTTGCGTGGTACGATTCCTGTTAAAATACGTATTCCGTCGAATTTTAATCGTTTTATTTCTTTTAGTGACGTTTTAACATGTGCTTCGATTCCATGTACAAGGTGTTTAAATTCTGCCACGTTAGCTGGGGCTGTTATTAGAAGTTTTTCATTTTAATTATATTCTCCATTCTTGTCTATGGTTCATCATGTGTTATTTGATCTTTAAGTTGATTGTACCTGGTCATGGAAATAATATTTAAAGTATTTGAACCACTGGGCTTTATTTGGTGTGCCAAGATAACCTGCTGCATGACCATATCTCTCTATCTTTAACTTGGTAAATTTCCAAAAATCTTTAATAGAAATGACATTATAATAATTGCTCCTCTATTGTGAAGGTACACAGCCCTTATCACACCTACCTCCAGTAGGAACACACCAACACTGCTCTGTATCCCCCGAGTCTTGTATAGTTGGCCTCAGAGTCTGGTGAGAGTCGCCCTAAAGAACTAGGTGGTGTAGTGACGGTTTTCCTCTGGTGGGTCCTGAGCTCTGTGGTCACTGTACAGATATCCGACATACAGTGTTTTGTTGTTCTTTGTTGGTTCTCACTTCTCAAATATATATATATATATATATATATATATATATATATATATATATATATATATATATATATATATATATATATATATATATATATATATATATATATATATATATATATATATATATATACACACTTGTGTGTTTGCGTCAGTCTGGTGTGCAGTTATAGACACGCATGAGGAACTTCATTCATTCTAATTGTCGTGCTGTCATAAATTGGACCATTGGGCACAATCTCCCATCAGCATTACTGAAGTGTATAAACACCGACCCCACTAAGACAGCTGGCCCCTCACAACACTCAGGCC